ATCCCGCCCTTCGAGTCCCTCCCTCTCGGCAACGACGACCCCAGATACTCCGCCTGGGGTCTCTACGGTCGTGACGACGAACTCGGGACCTTGAATAGACTTACCGATGAGCGCGTCGCGGCAGCAGCCAAGAGCGAAATTAAGACAGGAGCCCGGTAAACCACACAAGCCTCTCGCATATGATTCCTCGGGACACTGACAAACACTCCCAAGCGTCTCCCTGAACTGGTCTCTCACAGCCCAGCCCGAACCGTTCTTCGCCCGCCGCTCCTTTCACCTTGAACTCCAGGTTAAAGCCCCTTTCCTTGCCAACGATGACGTCTGGACCTTCAACTCGCAGTCCTCGTCTCAGTGGGACGGCCTCCGCCACTGTGGCTATCAGGAGGAGAAGCGCTTCTACAACGGCGTGACTATGGAGCAGGTCCATGCCGTTGACGAGAATGGAAAATTGTCGACTGTCAACGGCATCCAAGGTGAGTTGTCCCGTGCAATGAGACCGAGCAGTTGGAGCTGAGTGACATGAAGCCTGGCAAAAGCATGGCATTGTAGGCCGTGGCGTGCTGGTAGACTACCACTCCTGGCGGCTCTCTCAAAACATCACATACGACCCCTTCGCCCACGACTCCATCCCAGCCTCCGAGCTCAAGGCCTGCCTGGAAGCTCAAGGAACGGAGGTCAGATTCGGCGATATCCTCATCGTACGCACAGGTAATCTCTCCAACCCGACGTCTGATGCGGGCAGTGGACTCACATATTCAGGCTTCATGGCATCTCACGCTTCAAAGTCCGCCTCAGACCTTGAGGTCTACCGCGCCGCCGAACCCCAAACCTTCAGCGGCGTTGGCCAGTCGGAAGAGGCCCTGCGTTGGATCTGGGAGAACTTCTCCGCCGTCGCGGGAGACCAGCCGGCCTTCGAGTGTTGGCCACGCAAGGACCCGCAGTACTGGATGCACGAGATCCTCCTTGGCGGCTGGGGCATGCCCATCGGTGAGCTGTTTGACCTTGAAGCTTTGGCTGAGAAGTGCAAGCAGGAGAAGAGATGGAGCTTTTTCGTGTCCAGCGAGCCCTGCCATGTGCCGGGAGGTGTTGCCAGGTGAGTCTCCACCATGTCCTCGGACTGTTGTTGCTAATCCATTTGTAGCCCACCGAATGTTCTCGCTATTTTCTAATGATGGCAGCTCTCGTCAGTTTTCATGTCCTGTTCAAGATGGTTGTGGCAAATGGCACGTGTAATAGGAAATCCAATGCATAATGATATTGACTGTCCTAGCCAGCCTACTATATCAAACACGTTGCAGGAGAGGACCTTTTCGATTAAGAATCGTTTGTATGCGGCCCTCCTGAGATTCGCAGCCGCCTCGTCGATTCTATCTCAGGCTTGAAACACCTATGGCCAAACGACGACGGTAGCTGACTGATACCCCGCAAGCTTCATACTTGAAGATGCTCTCGAGATGTATTCGTGTCTCAGCATTCCTAGCTGAAGTAAATGATGAAAGGCATTGCCGAGCCCGACGCCCTAATTTTGCTTTGAACTGCCGAGTGCCCTCTATCATAAACAAGTTCTAACCCCCAGAGCTCTCGCTTCATCCCTTATGACTCTTGCGATCACTAGACATTCTGTCAGCATGGAAGTTTCTCCTGATTGAGCGAATTGACTCACGTGCTCAGTCTCCTAGACAATTGTTGCAGCTTCTTATCGTTGGCAGCATCTTCAGCAGCCTTCTCGAGCGCCTGCTTCCTATCCTCATCTTGCTGCTTCACAACCTCGTCATGGCTGGGAGGAAGCCTCTCGTTCTGCAAATCAACCTTGCGGGCGTCTTCGAATGTGTTGATGGCGTTCTTGATACCCTCAGCACCAAGCATGAGCGTTCCAGCAGGAAGTCTGCCACCGGAGACGGTCTTAAGCTCCGTAACCCTCTCAGACTCCTCACGCAACACCTGGAACACACGCGAAAGACGGCCAATCGCCAAGATCTTGTTCTTGATCGCGCGGCGCTTGTACTCGATGGACTCGGGATCCTGCGTTCCGGAGAGAGGGGGCGACATGGGACCGGGCGATGTGGACGAAGGAGTAGCGTCCTCCTTGAGCTCCTCCTCTGAACAAGTGCTAAGGATCGCGATAAGCATGTCGGTGATCTTCTCACCGACGAACGGCAGCGACCATGTGAAGACATCCATGAAGTTTGGTAGCCAGTACGGGTGGGGCGTGCAGTTGAATTGCCGGATGTTCATGACATTGTTTTCGTACTTCAAAACAGCAGCCTTATTGTTGTAAACATCGAGGTAGTTGGGCGCCGAAAAGATGGTCATGACACTGGGGAAGCCCGTGGTACGCGTCTTGCGATACATTCGGTAGCCTGCATCTTGCGCCTCGTGGGCTCGAATGACGGACAGCAAGTTATTCTTCTCGAGGAAATTGCATGCGGCCGGGTACGAGAAGAAGTAGGAGCAACCGCGGACATGGTTATGCAGGAAATAGTCGCTGGTCTTTTCTTGTCCAAAGTCCTCAAGAGGGTCGGCCCACAAGATATCGCACATGAGACCCTGAGTGGGCGGCTCACGGAATCGATCGATCTGAACCGTCTTGTTAGTGCGTGTGATGGCAGGTCTGGAACAAGATCAACTAACGCTACGCAGGTCATCCAGAGTGTGCAACTCAGGACTCAGGCCACCGTGGATACACAAGAATTGCTTGTTCATGACAGCCGCAAGTGGCAGGCAGCAGAAGGACTCCATGCAGGCCTCGTAAATAGACTCAGAGTACTTGTGCTTGCACTCCAGCTTGAAGGTGAAGTAGTCCGTCAAGTGGCGACACTCGTGGTTACCACGGAGCAGCCACAGAGTCTTGGGATAGTGGATCTTCAAGCACCAGAGGTACAGGACACACTCGATACTGAAGTAACCTCTGTCGACGTAGTCACCGAGGAAGAGGTATCGCGTCTCGGCCGGGTCGCCACCGACCTCGAACAGCTTCATCAGATCGTAGTACTGGCCGTGAACGTCACCGCAAACAGTGATGGGCGCATCCATCTCGAGCAGGTTGGGCTCGGCGCGGAGCAGCTCGGTGGCGGTTCTGAGAATCCATAGGGCCTGCTCCTCGGTCAAGCGACCCTCGCGATAGAAGTGCTGCTTCAGGAAGTTGATGTTGGGCTTCGTGTGGGTTTCGTCCTCGAAGAACTGCTCGTCGGAGGGGGTGAACATGGCAGGAGCTTGGACATCTAGGAGAGGAATCGGGGGTTAGCGCGGGATTGATCGTCGGGCGGGGCTTGATTGCAATAGAGCGAGGGGCATCGTGACGCAGTCTGAGGCGGGGGAGGAGTGATGTCGTCGACAGCAGAAGCGGCGTACCTTTGCAAACTCGCTCCATGGTGTTGACTTGGGTGCCATCTTCCATGGTGTGGATAGTGAAGTCGATCTCGGGGAGGGGCTTCTTCTCGCGAATGGCGCGAATGGCATTGTCGACTTGCTGGTTGCGACGGTCGTCGGGACCAGGCGCGCTGCCTTCGGGGTCCATGATTGCTGGCTGGTGGGTTGAGGCGAGGTAAGGGGGAGAGAAGTCAGGTGCTTGTCGAGGGAATCGGTCGGGTATCGATGATGCAGAGCAAGTGAGCGGTGAAGGACGGTAAGGATAGCACCAGCTCCTGATCAAGTCGCAATGGGCCTACAAAGAGGCGAGCTGGGTGGCGACAAGACGTTGGGCACAAGACGGGCGAGACCTGGCTTCGAAGCAATGCGAGGCGTGGTGAGGCGAGGGGTAAAAATTGAGGTGAGGAAAGATAGGGCTGAGAAGGGGGAGATGGGTGAAGGGGATGGGACGGGATGGGATACGCAGTACTGCACTCGGCAAGGTCCAGTCCAGTGTCCAGCTTTCGGCAGGTTTGCAGTGAGGTGTGCAGTAGCAGGTCGCCAATTTGGTGCTCCAGTTTCGCAGTCCTTGGTACCTTAGGTGAGCTGCGGGAGGTAAAGTCAGCCACTGATACCATTTAGAATGGCGAATCCACCGGTTCTCTAGGGGTGCAGTTGCTAAGGTAAGCTGCTGCCCGCGCGCGGGAGGGGAGCTGGAACGCACACCTCAGATGAAATGGCAGGTGGCAGGCCGACCGAAGACGTGTCCGCGGACGGCGGGGTGGGCAGGGCAGGTAGAAGGGACTTGGGGTCCCACTTTCTTCACGCGTGTATGCAAGTACCGGGAACACTGCTCTTACTGCTACGAAGGAATACCCGAGACTCGATTCAGACGCTCACTGTGCAGTGTCCTTCCTGCTGGACCCCTCTTCCTGTTTCCTCTGGTCGAGTGTCGTCTGAGAGGCAGCCGCATGCTGGTGCAGCCTGTCAAAGGCGTCCAGTTGCCTCTTCCACCCCCACATGGCCACAAGAACAGCGCCAAGCACCTTAGACCTTAGGTACGAGGAAGTACCAGGTACGTATCGTCGGGAGAGGTCCCTCGACCTCCCCCTCCCCCTCATCACTGGCGCTACCTTACCTTAGGTACTTTTTCCACTTGGCTCCAGCCTCCAATCCTGCTCCCGTCGTATCTTTCTTTGGTGTGCTGTAATGATCAGGAGCACCAGAAATCCCATGCTTCGGATTGGGTGGTTTCCCTTTCGCTTCAATTGTCTTTGCAACTTCCTCCCACCATCAACGCAACCAGGGAACACGGCATACATCACGCGACACGATCGATCTCGCATCTACGCCAACTGGCATCAATTCTTGATCTCATTGAAAGTCTCTAGTTTCTACTTCTGTTCCGGCTCTCCAACCGTCTAATACATGGGTATTCTAGGCTTTATTCTCCACCCACTGCACAGACTCGGATTCAGGAGCCGTTATTCAACGGGCCATGACCGACTTGCAAGATTGGTCGCGATCTGAACCTCAAGTTCTTTCGGCTTTATGCATATCGCTCAATTGCCTGACGCGGTCGCTGTTCTCCTCCGACTTCGTGCAGCTTGTGAGCCACTTTCGCAGCCAAAAACTTATCACCGACATCTGCTTCATGGCAAGCAGTAGCCTCCATCGACGGTGATGTCGCAGCCAGTCGTGTACGAGGCAGCGTCCGAAGCAAGGTACAAATAGGCGCCCTTGAGCTCCCTGGGCTCTCCTTCACGTCTGCCAATTGTCAGCCACGTCACAAGCACGCTTTTGTGTGCCATCAACTTACCCCATAGGTGTCTTATTTCTCCACTGCTTCTTGGACTCTTCCGGGACGAAGTCGGTGATCTCGGTCTTGATGTAACCAGGAGAGACTGTGTTGACGCGGGCAAAGTCGACCCATTCAACAGCCAAACTCTTGCCTTTCCAACTTATTAACTTCGCACCACCCAAGACTCACAGGAATACTCACAAAGGTGGATCACGGCCGCCTTGGAGGCGTTGTACACCGCCTGCGCCTGTGGCACGTTCACAATGTGGGCACTCATGCTGGCAGTCGCAATGAAGCTGCCATACGTGAAGCCCTCGAGAGGCTTGCCGTCGAGCGTCGTGCCCTCCTTCTTCTGTCGGCGGAAATGAGTGCCGGCAACCTGGGCGCAGTAAGTTGTGCCATTGACGTTGACGGCCATGACCTTATCGCCCTTATCCATGGGCCCGTCAATCAAAGGGCCCTCCTCCCAGGCAATGCCAGAGTTGGCGACGAAAATATCCAAACGGCCGTTGAACTCAGAGACGATTTGCTGGACGGACTCTTGAATCGATTCGTGGGATGTGACGTTCACCTGGTACGCTCTGCCTGCAAAGAGAGGTCAGCAACTCAGCTCCAGCCATGCCGCCAACCGCAACACAAACATTTGACGCCGTACTCCTTCTCGATCTCGGCTGCTCGTTCCAATGCTTTCTTGTTGCTGTTGTACCAAATGGCAACGTTTGCGCCAGCCTCGGCATAGGCGTGGGCAATGTTCAGACCAATGCCAGCGCCCGCGCCGGAGACGATGGCCGTCTTGCCCTTGAGTGAGAACAACGGCAGCACACGGTTGCCGGCCGGCGGCTCTGTGGCGTTATTCTTGAACGCGCCGTCTTTCATGTCGGCCATGTTTACAATTGTCGTGGAGAAAGGCTGAAATCTTGCGAATCTGCTGGCTTTTGCTGCACGAGGGACACAGAGGACTCGAGGCCGTGAGACGGCGGCGCGGAGGACGGAACCGAACATTTTATTGAGGAGCGGCAAGAAGAATATGCCGCAAGAGGGCCTTGAGTTCTTTCTGTCTGACTTGGTTTGACAGGGTTCTAGGGAGAAGCTTCACCGCAACCTGAGGGTCTTTGAGGATTCCACGAGAGGGTCACGAAGTACGAAGTGTGCGAGGGGAGGAACAAGCTAATACTAATACCAGTATGGTCGGCGCGCCGCGGCAATGAGCGCCCCTGGTTCATGCGACTTGGGCCGACGGAACAATCTTGAGCGAGGTGACGCGGTGGAGCTTCGAGAAGGGGTAGCTGTGCCGCCGCACCGCCAGGATGAATGGATGGAGGGGTAGCAAAGGCGGTTTCCAGGTCGTGTCATTGGCATCATGGCCGCCGTCATTGACCCTGAAGACGGCACGGCACTAATTAGGGCGACGGCCGCTTCTGCATGTCGCATGTGTCTTCAGCAACCTCGGGCGCCGCCGGGGGGTGGTGTGGGGGTGCATTGGTGCCATGGGGGCCCGGGGTTCGGGGGTATTCGGGTCACATTGCTCCAGATTTGGCGGTTTCCAACATGCTAAAGTTGATTTTACCGCGGGCAGATGCTGGGACGGAGGGGCCTGAATCGCGGGGCCATCGGGGCTAAAACGATCCCCGCTTCAACTCGACTGGCGCGCTTCTAGGTTCTGTCTTCCAAGGTCCAGCCCGCCTGGCCCGCCATCTTCGTGAAAGGCTCATATCAATGCCTCTGATATGTGCGTACGTCTCTCATGCCAATGCTTTCGCCTTTCGCCTTTATATGCACTCTTTTCCTGATGCAACTGTCACTCGCCATGCAATGCTCAGTATGCGCTCTCTCATCCGACAACCCTGTCTAAGATCTGTTGGCGAGGAAAGTTTGTGTTTCTCCAGCGTGAAATGAAATCGTCTCGGCAGACTGGCTCAAGTCAGAGGAACATTCTCCATTCTGGTCAGTCAAAGTGTAAAACTTACTGTAACCACCACAGATGCGTCTTCTTCCTTCAAAGGCACTCCGTCCATGCATCACGCGCCAGTTGTCAAAGACTGAAGGAAACACACAAAAGTCAGCAAAGCACGGTCACAGCTAGAGCCTTTTCCACCTGCGAGAACCACACTTACTCAACACTCTGCCCGGCGTGAGCTGCGTCCAAAACTCCATGTCGGGCCGCTTGAGAATCTCGTTCCACTTGCGGGCTGCCGCGTACCACTCCTCCGGGGCGATATCCTTCGTGAAGGGCACGACGCCGCGGTCGTCGTTGTTCCACCGCACACGGTGCACCTGCCCCGAGAGGGGATGGAGCTCGAGCACGGGGTACGATCTGTCGGGCGAGATGGTGATGCCCTCGTTGCCGCTGGCGTGCCAGGGCAGGCGCAACTTTGTGAGTATGTCGAAGGCTTTCTCGTCCTCCTGCCTGAGGACGTTTGCGGCGTGGAAGCCGTCCACGAGGAGTGACTTGCCGCCTAGTTCGCCGTCGGCGGAGGGCTCGCTGCCTGGCGGGGCCTCGTGGGAGAGCATGTGGAAGGCTTGCAGGCCGGCGGGGTCGGTGAAGTAGGTGGTGTCGGTGTGCGCCGGCAGGGCAATGTTGGTGTAGGCCGTGTCGGCCATGGCCATGTCGGGGATGAAGTCGTAGAAGCCGCCATAGTGCGTCTCGCGGATGAATGCGATTCTCTCCAGGACTTCCTTCGTGGCGCTGGGCGTGTCGAAAGGGACGCCGTCGACGAAGGCGAAGCCACGCTCACGCTATCGTGGTTGTTCCACTTCAGCTATCGGCTTCCTACACAAAGTGAAAGGATTGGCTTACAATCGTGTTTGTCACATTGGCCACACCGGAGTCTTTCTCTGGGAAAAGCTCGTTGTATTGGATTGTGGGAGGGTCTTGGTGATTTTGTTGGATCCCGTATTTAAACCTGGACCGTCAGCAGGACGATTCTTCTCTTGAAGGCGAGGACGACGCTTACTTGATGTCCTCCAGTGGACGGCTGTTACGGTATAGGTAATGGTTCAGAAACTCCCAGGTGTAAAAGCTCTCGTGGTTATCTTGGTTCCCTGCCCCCCTTGGCGTCTCAGCGTTATCTTGGTGAGTTCACTGGAGAATGATGGAGACGTACACTTGATTTTCAGTCCCTTATTGTCACGCTCGATTTTCAAAGGTTGAATGTCCTCATCGATCTGCCATCTCAAGGTTCAGTTGGGATGATTTTGAGTTGAGTGAGTGAGAGAGGGAGAGAGATAAGTGACGTACAGCGAAGGTATCGAAGTTCCTCTGCATGGTGTCCTGGTTCACGCATTGGCTGCATCGGCAGTTGTCCCTTTATACTTCATCAACGGGCCGCAACTCTGACGGGCCGAGAACCAACATACCTCAACCAAAAGTGCGAGCTGCATCGGAAAAGTCAGGCAGTCAGCGGTGAATCTCAGACTGGTGCATTGCTGCTTCATCGAGCTGTCGGCGCTGGGGGCGGGACGGCGAGAAAGCCAACTTACAGTGTCGTCCGGCGTGCTCGACTGTTGCGCCCAACTTCGAACTCGATGCCGGGCTTGGTGGTCTTGACCTTGGAAATCTTGTTCTCGTAAACAACACGCCGGGCAGCGGTGGTTGCGGAAAGCTGTCTTGAGGCGGCGTTCACACGGAGGCGCGGTGCGGCGCTCAACGCAGGACGCGCGAGACTACTACGAACAAGCTTCAATGTGAGACCACTTTCGACTTTCACGTGTCATTCGCAACGCCAATTGAAGAGAGAAATGCAGAATGGAGAATGGCATTTTGTTTTTTCGCCGTTGCTGGCGATTGGGAAATCCCATACCTTCCGGCTCGTAAGCCGATTTGCCTGAACGACATTGTTATCGCGGGGGGTCGGTGGAAGGGTTGCTGCCAGGTAGAACTCTGATCGCGCCGAAGTGGATGTGATTATGGGCAGAGTTGGAGCAAGTTCGGAGGCGGCGGGGGATGAGGTAGGGGCCGGGATATTGAAAGTCGACGTTTGTATTTGTTTGAGAAATGCGACGGATCTGAGTCGGCATCGGGTGGAGGGAGGGATGTCTGTCTACCTTTAGGTAGTCTTTTCCTGGGGGAGACTCATGTGTGTTTGGAGGGGCACCCTCTACCTCAGGCACATGATGCCCCACTTATCCGTCGAGATATGGCATAAGTAGGTAGACAGAGTGAAGAGAGCCGAAATGCTTCGGTTTTGCACTGACATCGGCTGATTGCTAGGCGGGAGGTTTTCGGGGCATGGCGGGGAAGGTTGCCCCCGGGCAGCGGAGGTGTTCTCTTCCCAGAGAGTTGAGGTGCGCTAAATTCGAGGTTGTCCTAGGCGCACTGGACGCATGTGCTGTGGGTCCTCCATCGTCTTGGCTGCCTGCTTCATTGTAGTGTTCCTTTGGCCCATTGTACAACCTAAGAAACCTGGAAACCTTACGAATCGTCTTACACCGTGGACTTGCTTTGTCTGTTTCTTTCATTAAGCATCTCCAACATGGGCCCTGTCCACCGTCAAGTTCTAACTTCACAGCGGCCCACTTGACAAGCGCCTCGAGCTCTTCTCCCCTACAGCTCGCCACGTCGTCAACTGGAGAAGAGAGTGCGCCTCGCTTCGCCCGCATCGTGTCTGATCGTCTCCAGACCGCTTCCGAGACCGATTGGGGCCTGAAAATCCGTTCAAGCGGGATTCTTGTTGCTCCCCCATCGCGTGGCAGAAATAGCCGCCGTGTCCAAGTCCTTGGGACTGTTGGAACTCCTACAGCGACGACAGCCACCCGAATTTCGGGGACGTGGCAGAGAGGGGATGGGATCTCCCAAACCCCCCTGCCGCCCTCAAGCGCCGGAATCTCCAACCCGGCATCTCCCAAGACCAGGATCTCTCAGAGCAAACAGGCCAAAAACGAGAAGGAGTGCAAGGCACTCTGCTCTCCTTCGCATCTTCGTCCACTCACATGACTCAAGCGGTTCCGGCACTCTGGTTCAGATGCCTGCCCACCGTTTTTTAGTCTCGTCTCCTGCACGTTGGGAGTTGCTGCTTGTTGGTGCTCGTTGTTTGCATCGCGCGTAGGGGGCTCTTCTCATTGGCCGTGCTGGCGACGAGAGAGCAGAGACGACGCAGAGAACATCAAACCCAACATCGCGGCAGAGTCTTCGTTGCGGTTGGCTGGATTTGTCCATCTGGTACAAACAGCTCTCTTTTCGGTGTCCTCATCTGCAAAGAACAAGATGTTCATAAACCATCATGTCCCTTCTCTGGACATGATCCCGCCGAGTGGCGGTTTCTCTTCGAGCTGTGCTGCCGAAGGTCTACATGGGACCTTTGTTTGTGAGTCTTTTTGAATTCTATTTTACATCCAGATTACTACATAATGTTTTCAACCCTACATTGGCGCAAAGTCTGTGTCTTTGCATGGCTAGTCTGCCATAATCACTTCACCTCTGGCCTTGAGTTTACACCCTTATTCCAACCCCACGATGCCCTCTCTCTTACACAGAGAGCCTCATCACGACCCAACGCCAGCTGCCCCGTCGATGGGCATGTTGCCTGCGGTAATGGCACACCCGACTACTTCTGTTGTTCCAGCGACACGAGATGCATGGTTTTAGCATCCAGCACCACTGCCCTCTGTTGTCCCAAAGGCGCATCATGTGACGCCATCACCACCATAACCTGCGACATCACCAAGCAAGACGTGGTTGAAAATCCGGGCAGCGTGATACACACCACGAAACTCAGCGAATCTCTACCGAAATGCGGAAAGCAGTGCTGTCCGTTCGGTTACAAATGTCGCGGTGGATCTGCCTGTGTGTTGGATGAGGACGAAGATACCAGAAGCACCACCAGCACAAACACCATTGTGACGAGAACAAAGAGCAATTCGGTCTCCATGACATCCGGTTCTAGTCTCACAGAGACCTCCGCAGCAGAGGCAACTGAGACAGCAAACACCGATGCCGAGAGGCTTCCGGCGTCGAGAACCCCATCCGTCACCGTAGTCCAGCAGATTCCTACACCGTCTACGACAGCACCGTCAGAGACAGACACCCCAGCGGCCGCAAACTCGGAAAAGACCACATCGGGGGGCGTCATAGCAGGTACCACTGTTGCAGCCGTCGCCTCCGTGGCAGGTTTGACTTGCCTGCTCTGGCTCAAACGACGCTCCATCTCCGAAAAGGTCGGCTCCGCCAAGTTCCCCCGCCCGTGGCAGCAACTCGGCCAGAACAACTCAGACCAGGACGTGGCACTGCCGCGATACAACTCTCCACCGCCGGCGTACGCCGTACAGCAACGTCCGCCTACCAAGCAGTACACGTTCAAGCACTACAGCCCAGAGTCAATAGGCGCGGACCAGCCCATTGAGCTGCCTGCCACGCCGGTTTCTTTCAGCATGTGGAACCCTCGCAGTCCTCGCAGTCCCAGGCGGCCACGGTCTCACTTCGAACCGTATCGGCGTCCTGAGTAATGCCAGCAGAGGAAATTTGTGAGACGGGGGTTCACTTCTTCTTTTGTATATACATGCGCGGTTTTACATTTACTTTCATGAGCGACGAGACACTCTGTACAATACCATGGGAGGAGCCAACTTTGAGATAGATTCAAGAAAAGTCTGTTGCCTACTAGAAGACATTCGCTGTTCCTGTTCCTGCGCTTCTTCTGTGCTTGAGAGTTCCACGATGGCAGGTATCCATTCTATATCTTCCGAGGCCCGGCAGATCATCCAGCAAGCAGTTCGATATCCCGACTTCACAGTCTCTCTACCCTCTCGAACCCCTCTTCGCATCACCCAAGTCCAACTCCACCCGCCAAGATGGCATACGAAGACCCAGACAAGTTCATCTCCGACAGCACCCTCTTCTTCCTCCCCGGCGCCATGATCCTCTGGCTCCTCATCTTCATGATCGTCACCCTCAGCTACAGCGTCAACAGCCCGCCCAAGATCATGCCCCGGGCGGTGAACCTCGGGCTCGTGGGCGTCGCGAGCGTCTTCATGGGCCTCTGGCTGCTAGGCCTCATGGTCTGCTACTGCCGCGGCACGTTCCTGAAGGGCCGGTCGGGGCGGGACGTGGCGCCGAAGCCGCCCGGCTGGGGCGAGGACATGGAGAAGAGGATGTGTAAGTTGGAGGAGCAGACGAAGCCGCCGACGCCGCTGCCGGGACAAGCGCAGCGGAATCATCAGGAAGAACAGATTAGACAGCGGGATGAGCGGTTATTGCGTCAGTCGCAGCCTTTTCAAGAGCAGCCCATGTCGCAGCCAATTCATTCTCAGAATATTCCGCCGTTTTATCCTCAGCAATTTCCAACACAACTACAGCCTCTTGGACAGCAACAAATTTATCCATACCCAGTACAACCAGAACCTATGCAGCGATACCAGCCCTTCCGACCACACGCTCAGCAGCAACCCCAACAACAAGCCCATCAAGACGGTGTACAACGCCATCATTCAAGACCCATGCCTGACGGACCGAGGGATATGCCCCCGTCCCAGCACAAATCTCGCAACCGCCAACCGTCTCCCGGCCGTTCAAACCGATACCCACCTCTCACGAGCGGTTACAACTCCAGTATCCAGAATACCCCGATTACGATGTACCATCCTCCTCGCTCATCAAGCCAGCCTCCGAGGGTCCGGTCGACCGTGCAGGAAGTCTCAGAGAGCCCTGGCTCGCCGCCGAGAGGAAGAGTGAGTCGCCGACAGGGTTCCGACAATTTGAGACGGAGTCGCAGTTCACCTCCTCCCGGAGAGGCCTTGCAGAGCGGAAGGCATTGGGAGCCTGCTCAAGACCATCACAGACCATTTGCACAGAATGATGCTTCATTGCTAGCATCCCCTGACTCGGCAACTAGGATAGCCATGACGGTGAGTTGTTTTCATTTGGCTTGAGATTCAGGGGAGCCCGTAACTGACTTCAACACAGGTCAAACCGCTTAACATCAATAAGCAACCCAGTCAGCGTGACGCGCATGCTCGGCCTTCTCGATCCAACAGCAGAACGAGAAGACAAGATGAATTCAATGCGCCAGATACTATGGTGTCTATGATGCCTGACGCTTTATACAGGGGAGACGGATATCCGCCAGTGTCTGCTCCGTCGTCGCCTCCGCAGGTTTGTCAGGCAGCTCCAAGCCGGCAAAATATGCCTGCTCCAGATGATGTGCCAGTGGTACGTGGTCTTCCTCAAACGTCCAGCCCTGCCCAGAAGACAGAGCTCTCGAGGAACTTTTCTCAAATGAGCTTTATCAAAAACGTAGGTGACAAGAACTGGATGGGTAGAATTTCCCGTATGACTAACCGTAATGAGTAGGCAAATTGTTGAGCTAGAATGTTTATCACAATGGGGTTGTTCCTTTAGTCGATGGATGTTCTTCAACAAGCAAACCTCAGAATTGACCGTACATATAAGACGTTCCTAGCGTTATTGAATTCAGGAATTTTTGAATGTGAGCAAACCCTTCTTTTCGCTAACAGAGCTCGCTGCATTGCAATGTCATCTTGTCCAATCATAGCTCATTCTCATCCAAAGGAACACAGTCAGTTCCTAGGCCCGAGGGAACTTCTGCATACGAACTCTTCGAACAACTCATCGTTACACAAGCCCACAGCTCAGACCTCAAGCTCCTTCCCCTACATGAACTCAATTCCACAACTCCTGTTCGTTTGACGTTGTGCTTAGAATGAGGGGAAACGTCAAAGTCACGCGCAGTTGTCGTCCGATGTAAGAAGGGGGCTGAGCTGCGTGGAGGCCCGGGTCCTTGGAAGCTCGAGCGCCCCAGGGAGTGCCTGGTCTCGTGCGCATGAGCTATCCAACCATGGCATCTCTTGGCTATGGAACTACCGCGAACCTACATGCTATACCACAGAATGGATGGAGGGGGAATAGTAGGTTCGGTCGCGTCGGCAGGAGGGGGGTTTCGTCATCAGCAACCACCCCGTCTGTGAGCTCTTATAGATCCGACTATCGTCTCAAAGCAACGCTGTCTTCTCCATGTCACCCAATGTGTCATTCAGAGTGATCCAAAGCTACCAGGCCACTTCACAAGATACACCAAAGCAGAGCGAGCACACCTCGGCGATAGAAGCGCCAAAAGATGGCTGAAGAAGCGCCGACCTCCTGGACAGACACGATCTACAACCTCAACCGCGGCGACCTCGACGCCGAGCTCGAGCGCCTCGCCTACAACCACTTCAACCTCTGGACCCCCCTCACCGGCGACCTCCTGCCCCCCCAAATCCTCAAACACATCCTCTCAAAAGAGCGTCCCCGCGTCGCCGACGCCGCGACAGGAAGCGGCGTCTGGCTGGCCTCCCTGACGGAGATCCTGCCCCCGCGCGCGGAGCTGACCGGCTTCGACATCGACCCGCTCAAGTTCCCCCCGCGCCCGCCGACGCCGCCGATCCCCCCGCCGCCGGTGTCGCCGCCGCTCCGGCCGCAACAGCCGAGCCTGGATTTCCGCGTCCACGACGTGCTGGAGCGCTTCCCCGAGGACGCGCGGGGCACGTTCGATCTCGTGCATGTGCGGCTGCTGGCGCTGGGGCTGAAGACGGACGACTGGGACGTCGCGGTGGCGAACCTGGTCGAGCTGGTCCGGCCCGGGGGCTGGGTGTTGTGGGAGGACACGGCGGACCTGTTCATCCGGGCGTATCCGCCGAGCAAGGCGTACGACGAGTGGTGGTGGGCGATTATGAGGCATGGCGCGCGGATCGGGAGGGATCCTTTGTAAGTTGTGTCCTCCCTGCGGTTGAGGAGCTGTCTCGCTGACAATTTCGACAGCATGCCCTCCGGCCTCTCCCAAAAGTTCGAAAACGCTGGCTTGCAAAATTGCGAGCAGAAGATCTGGAGCTCGTGGGCTGCGGACAAGGGGTTGCAGGAGAACGCGACCGCTGCCATTCAGAAGCTCGTCAGGCCGTCGCTGGCGGCGGTGATACAAGACGGCGGCGCCGAGACGATCAAGGATTCGGAAGACATCAGTCGGATTGAGAGGGACATTAGGAGAGACGTGGACGAGAGGGGTGTTCAGGTTGGGCTGGATTACTTTTGGGTTTGGGGACAAAGGCCACATTGATGCCACCCGATGTTTGGATCTCCTCTCCTATGTATGTACCTACTGATGGCAAACACGGTGTTGCTAGGAGTGATTGGCTTTAATCGAATCTTTTCATGCGAACCCCCAGAGTCGTCGCAACTCTGCAGATCTGTCGGATGTCTTCCAGCCTGTTTCCTTCTCGATCCTGGCCAGTTGCTTCAGCAACGCCAGTTTCTCCAGGGCGTATTCCTCGCCATTTCCGAAACAGTCGTCGTAAGTGTCAGCTGGCTGTGCTTCTAGCAGGCGTCCTCCCCAGCGAGAGGTGTTGGCAAGTGCCCGGCCCGCGATGAAAAGGGGCTGCAAGTGGTTTACCCAGTTGGCGCTATTTCAAGATACTTCAGTCTTGGTCACCGAGTATCCATGTGTCAACTTACTGGGAGTCATTTGAGATTGACAACCCGCCCAATTCCCTAGCATGCCATATCGGATCAGACTAAAGGGGGTCAGTCCATAACGGCCAATGGGTTAAAATACGGGGCGGAAGCTGAACTCACCAACTCCTTTTCTGTCGAACTTGAACTTACAAGACCAGTCTCGAGTAAGAGAATAGAGCCCGCATGGAAGAATGTGTTTCCACATACTCATCAATGTCATTTTCAAGCATCAAATCCTCAATGATGAACCGAAACTTACTTGCGGCCGACGTAGTAAATACTATAGTGGGAAAGGGGTTCCCACTCCCTCGAGGCTCTTCCCTCAAAAGCGGGCATACATCTCTCGGTCGAAACTTCCACCAAATACTCAAATCTTTCCACAGATCTTCAGTCATGGTAACTCTATGAGCCGCCGAAATCCTGGGCGAAGGTGGGTTGTGAGCAATCAGGTTGATGATCTTGGCGAATATCAATATGGCTAGGTTGCAATAATCGTCAATGTCGCCGCTCGCAGCGGCAGCTGCGGATACCGCCGGGATAGAATCGTTCTCAACCCAACAGGTGGTAGAAAGGAGAGTCGTCTGCCCAATGATGAAGGCTGCCCAGATGTCTTTCGAACTGTGAGCAATGTGGCTTGTTGGAGGTTACAGGGCCACGTACCGATTCTGGCAAAAGCCCAAAAACATGATTTGATGATTCCTTTACTGCATCCTTTCCAGTTACGGCTTTTCAGTAGCCCGGCGCATCCCTGGACGAGCATTAGTAGATGTCAGATGGTTCTCGAGAACCACATACGTTCAGGTGGCGCCTCCATTCTGAGACACTGGAAGCCATCATCTCGTATACACACAGAAGTGTACATGTCGCCAGGATGGAGGTGTCGGCTTCCGACGGATCTTGATAAATCAAAAGTCGGATAGTGTACTGATACAACTCCAAGGCAGTCTGTCTCTGCCTGCCTCTCAGTGTGTCGACCTGGCGTGAAGAAAGGGCCAGAGCAGCAGCCACAAATGCTCTGGAATCCATCATGGAGTGAATGCTTTTGACAGTAAAGTGCTTTTCGGAGTCGGTCGTTTCACACCACGTGCCGGTTTCACGGAGGTAAGCCATCATGAGGTGAGCTTGCTCGGTCTTGGATAGGGGTAAGTCGAGATCCGGCAGTGGTGCTGCATCTGAGAATATTGCTTGGCCTAGAGAAAAGGGTGCCGTGTATGATACGACCGGTTCGGGGTGCAACGCTGGGGCTTGGTTGCTAGTGTCTGCCGTGATGAGGGGCAGAATCTGTTGTTGCGTGCGCGCGTTTAGGCCGGGGGCCTCTTCTGCCGCTTTCCATGAGCCCTGAGCCAAGTTCTCATCATCTGGAGTTGTAGATTCTACAAAAGGCACTGTGTGTGACTCGGTATCAGACTGCGATTCGGGTTCGTGGTTGGCAATAGGGTCGTCGACGTCAGAGATTGGTGACGATGGTGTCACGTAATCACCCTCGAAGAATTCTACGATGTCGTTCGTGTCATCAACGAACTATTGATAAAGTATGTAAACATATGTAACGCATGTATGAAGGGGGCACTAGTAAAAGAAGAGACGTACTTGATGTGGCTTGTCCGCATCTGCTTGTTCTGTGGTATCGGCCCGCCTCTGCTGTTCAACGTCAAGCAGACTGGCTTCATCTTCAGCAGAAAGGGTAAGCGCTCGCGACGGGTGAAAGGAGACTTTGACGCCCCATGCGCATCCGTCTCCTCGGAACTCGCAATTTCGACATCTGGGACGGGCCCCATCGCCTTCTTCGGCAGTCAGCCACTTGATCCAACATCTTCCAAGGATCAACTCCTACTCACACTTCCGCTTTCTACTCCGGCATGGAAGACTAAATCTGGTTCAATTAAGAGCTCTCATAGGGCCAATAGCGTGTCTTACATACCATCCCGAACGCGTTCTCGTCCTCAGGGGCCGTTTGTAAGTTCCACCGTAAGGAGTCGACACCCCCGCGGCGTCGTCTGCCATTGCAAAACCTCGGTAAACTGCTGTCAGACAGGCATAAGAAATTCGATGAGAGAAAGACAGGTCGCCATGAGACTGGATTTCCGCCTTGCAAACGGCTTGTACCTGCCGGGTTTGACAGCGGCAGTGAGTGGGAAGCTAAAGCGCAAGCGCAAGCGCTCGCATTTGTCATCACGCTGGGGCCGCATCACTCCCAACTTTGGACAGGCAAGTGCAGCCATCGCTTACACCTTCCTCAACTCACTCCCACCGGCATCTTTCATGTTGTTCGGCGGGATTTACTGATATATGTTCTCGTCTCTATAGCAGTTCAGCGAATAAGTGGGCAGAGCGCTTGCGCTTTCACTTTGAAGTTGCCTCTGTCAACAGCAGTTCAATTCCACCCACGGCGCTTAATTCTCATCAACGTCGAGTCTGCTTCACCGTTGATTTGTCTTTGAAACCATTCTGCATTCATTCTCTATCTATGCTCAAAATCAACTGCCAACCAAAACTTGGATATCCTAGGCGACTAGTTGCCCTTCAGCTTACTCCAAAAGGAAGACGACGTGTCGCCACCGACAACAGGAGGTGCCAAGATCATCGTGTTCCAAGTCTCCTCGCCATCGACGAACAAGCTGTATTTCAAACTGCTCTGTGCACCCTCGGCCAAGTTCTCGATAGTCAGAGAGCCGAACTTGGAGTTGCCAGAGTGAACGTACCTAGGGGTAGTTAGTCAAAGTAACGAGCGGAAGACATTTACACTTACTTCAGGGCCACGTCCTCATCATCGTACTGTCTGTAAGTCGGCAATGGCGAAGCGAATTGATTGAGAGGACTGCAGGAGAACTCGTAGGCGGCAGCCGTTTCAGGCCACCTTCCGCCAGCTGGTGGAGGGAACTTGGTGGCTGCGAATTCGTGCCGGTCACCGGACACAACCACGACACCGACACCCCGTGCTCCAGCATCCCACATTGCCTCCAGCACCTTGCGTCTCTCGACAAGGAAACCACCCCAGGTATCCCGAGTGTTGACCGGCCAATTTTTAGTGAGAGGAATCGAAGAGGCGACAATCTTCCACTTGACGCCCTTAGGCTCAGGACGGTTTAGCCAGTCAATGAAGTCCTCCAGCTGCTGGGCGCCCAACATGGTCTTTTCCGGATGATCGAAAGGCAAGGAGTTGGTGGATCGGTAAGAGCGAGTATCGAGCAAGAAGAAAGAAGCCGGGCCTTGCACGAAGTCAAAATAGGTTGCACCCTCTCTGCGCAGGTTGGTAGTGCCCGCAACGCGAGCAGGAGGAGGGTTGGCGAGCTCCTGGTAGTGGTGCCAAGGCTCAATGGCGGCCCGGTAGACACCGGTGGTGTTCAGGTCCCAATCGTTCCCAATTTCATGGTCATCGAGGACGTGAATCCAGCTGAGGTTCTGTCCAACTGGAGCCCAATCGGGGGAGGCGTAAACGTGGCGGTATTTCTGACGGTAGTCTTCCTCATGCTTCCCCTGTCGCTTGGGAACGTCGATGTAGATGAAGTCGCCGAGGAACAGCATGAACTGCGCCTGCAGCTTTGGCAAGATGTTGGCGAGGTGGCGCATTCCTGGGATAGCCAAAGGATGCTCGAGAGGGTTGTATGGGAAACGAGGAAGGATGCACGAAGTCGAGAGGAAAGTGAACTTGTTGTCGGCAAAAGCTGACATCTGACCCGGCTTAGGCGGCGCGACGAACTCTCCGCTGTGGTTGTTCGAAGTCTTCCACTCGTAGATTCTCTGTTGCGAATGCTTCAAGGGGACGGTCAGAGTAGCTGTGAAGTCAGTGGTGTTGTCGGTGTACCTCAAGCCGCCGCCAATCTGCCACAGGGGGTTGTCGAAAGGAGGCTGGGGGTCCTTGATGTGAATCTCAATGGTGACCGGCATCTTGGCTTGATCAGGCTCGCGCAAGACGAACTTGGCTTCCGAGGGGGAAACATAGCCCAGGCGCACGAATGAGAGGTCCTCGACCGGGTGGTACTGCCGAACGCGAAACAAGAAGTCGGTGGTCATGGCAATCAGCGCGGCGTTGATGAGGAACGTCAAGATTGACAAAATAGGGCTGCTCGGGCTGGGTGAGCCGGCCAGAAGAGTAACCCAAGGTCGTGACCTTTCCTTCACGACGATGGTCTCCTCAATTCGGATCTCTTCAGCGACAACTTGTTCATCTTGGCCGTCTCCGTTCTCGTCTTGCACCAAAGCCTCCTTCACCGAGACATCGACATCGTCTTCCACGACGTCATACTTGGGCTCTGAAAAATAGCCCGAAATGAATGAAGGCACATACACAACAAACAGTGTGTAAATGCTCAGAGGCACAGCCGCCTACATGTTGATCAGCATACTCTGCCAAGCCAGGGGAGCTCGCCAATAATAAGTGGAACTCACTGGTCCTGGAAACTGCAGGTGCATCCAATGGTTAGCATGCAATTTCAAAAGCAATTTGATAATGTAGGTATCTCAGGAAACTCACCCATCGAAGAAAGATGTACGACACGGCTCTCAAAGCGACCGAAGAATAGAAGGCGATTTGGGCTTGAGTCCCCATGATGTCCGAAAGATCCGTTCGGTGGGCAGATGTGAATTGGTAGATGCTGGTCGGTTCATGCAAAAAGAAGATGGACGTTGGGAAGGTAGATATTGGATGAAATAGTTCGGAGGAATTGCTGGTACAGTGAGAAGGTGCAACCCAGCACCTGCCCGCTGACGAAGTGGGAAGAAAGTTTGATAGAGGAAAGAAGGAGTCGCGATGCTGCCTTCAGGGAGGTAGAGAAGCTCTCTGCTAGACGGGCCCACGGACGTGACGTGACAGGGCAGCTTCAGTTAGCAGCGAGATGAGGTCACTGATTAATGAAGGCTCCATCCGGGCTGAAACACCAACGCAGCGATAACAAGCCACTTTTTAGGGGAAACCTCAGCGCCTGAGAACATGTGAGCGTGGCTGGTGAGAAGCGGAAAGGAGCTGAGGAGCTCTGATGGGGCCACCTTACCTTCCCGCAGCGAGGTTCCTTACCTTCCATTACCTTACAGCGTCTGGGCCGGTGGGGATCCGTACCTTCTAGGCCCTCTCTAGCGGCCCAGCACCTCAAGCTCCGGTGCTGCTGCACGCCGCTGGCAGTTGCTCCTGTCGTTGGATGGTCCGTGCACACGTCCAAGGGGCTACCTTACATCTGGCGGGCGCCAATTTTCCGCGCCGAACTTTCAATCGTGGCCCGTTCGTGGTGACCTTTTTGGCGACAGCTTGTCCTGAATACCCAGCCAGCTCCAGAGTCGATCGATCGAGATACCCTCACGCGCGCACGAGGCTCCCACCCACAACATCATGAGGTTATCCGCTGTTGCCTGCGGGCTTTTTGCCTGCTTCGTTTCTCAGGTCGCCGCTACGGCATTGACCTACAAGATCCATGCCAACGAGAAGGCGTGCTTCTACGCCAAGACCCAGAAGGAGAACGAGAAGGTGGCCTTCTACTTCGCCGTACGTCGACACCAGCACGCATGCATTCAACCATGACAATGCTCTAATTCTCTTGATGCAGGTCCAATCCGGTGGTTCTTTTGATATCGACTACGTCGTGACGGGGCCGGGCAACAAGGTCATTCTCGATGGATCCAAGGAGCGTCAGGGCGACTTTGTCTTCACTGCACAGCAGATCGGCGACTACGAGTTCTGCTTCAACAACGAGATGAGTACATTTGCCGAGAAGTTTGTCGACTTCGAGATCGCTGTACGTCGCCGGCCCAACCCATCAACGATACCACAGCATGCTTACCATCTATTCTGATGCAGGTCGAGAACGAGGTTCGCGCTCAGCTCCCCTCCAAGCAGGGTGCCTCTCAGGAACAACACACTACTCTCGAGGAGACCATCTTCAAGCTTTCTGGTCAACTGTCGACCATTTCCAGAGGCCAAAAATACTTCCGCACCAGAGAGAACCGAAACTTCAGCACCGTCCGCAGCACCGAGTCGCGCATCATCAACTTCAGCATGATCCAGTGCGCATTGATTGTGTTGATGGGAGCCCTGCAGGTCTTCATTGTGCGCTTCTTCTTCCAGGGCGCTCGTAAGGGATACGTATGAAGGGTGATGATAAAAGTTGGGTCTGGATTTCGCTGGGCGCAGGCTAAAAGGAGTCTTCAGGGACTCGTGTACATCAAAAGCAAAAGAGGCATGATGTGGTTTATGGTATAAGAGATATCGACGACGATCCGACTCAGCGCTGTGCCAATGAAGCCTGGGGCCTACCCCGGGACCCGGCCTTTATGGCTGGAAATCACTCCACATGGAGTAAATAGCACTGGGTCACCAGTGAACATATTGAATGGTTTAATGAGTCTTGTTCCTCAATGTGTCTTAAAGAGCCATTGCATGCCTCGTGATGCGTAGGAAGAGCCTTGAAGCTTGCTTGATTTCATTTGAAAAGCGAACACCTAAGACGACGAAGTATCTCGTACCATCGTGCTCCAGCGCGATTCGGTTAGCTTGACGGTCATCCGGGTCCAAGTGAAGCTTCCTACCTGTCTAGACGCCGCTCGCATGGCTTGTGCGCGTCTGCTGAGCGAGGCTGCAGGTGAAGCGTGTTCCTCGAGTGGGGCCATAGCGAAAGGCGTCGTTTGATTGGACCAGAATGGGGCTGGTGTCACTAGCCACGGCAGGCTGACCGTGGAACCACTGTCATCCTGTTGCCCGAGCGGCGCGAGCTTGGAGAGCTTAGAGTATCGGTTATCAGCCTCGTCTGCGACCCGGCTAGGTCCTCAAAGCGACCGATCGCCTTCCTCACCACCTGCGGCACACTTTGCGACTACGCGCGACAATACATGGACACCTCCACGCCAAAGCCGACGCGCAAAAAGAACCCCTAGCAACACAAACACCACCTTCTCGGAGGTGGTCCGCGATCTGTCAATGCCGAGTGGTGCCCGCCGAAGTTCGAAACAACAACGCAAGAAACCCCGAGAGCCAAACGAGCCAAAGTGGTACACGATCAAGAATATTCTTGATCAGAGACAGTACGGGGGAACCATCGAGTACCTGATCGACTGGGACGACGATAAGAAAACGGGCGAACGCTTCCCTCCATCTTGGGCAAGTACAGTCGCGCCATTGTATTTGGGTCCATTCTAACGACCAAACAGGCTCCGAGCAAGGACGTGACGTCCAAGGCGATCTTTGACTGGAAGAAAAAGCAGGAAGAAGCGTACACCCAATACGCGACGGGCTCGGAAGAGCCAGAATCACAGCGCGAACGGGAGGAAGGAGCAGAGGACCAAGGCGCATCATCGCATTCTCCAACTGTCAGTACCCTTGACAGTAGCCAACCTATTCGGCCGCCTCATCGGCGCAAGCGACTTCATAGTGAGCGCTTAGCAGAGGAATACGAAAACTCTCAAATTGAAGACTCAGAGGAGGACGAACCCGATCTCTCTAAGCGACATTGCAGTGAGCCACCGTCGCTGCTTTCATTCGGCTCCGAGTTCGACACGGATGCTGCCTCGGACATTCTTCTCGAAGCACCGAGTAACATCTTTGTCGCAATTCCCTCCAAAGTAGAATTTGACCCTACCGAATACCTCAGTGTCTCGGGTTCTCAAGGTTCAACTTCGCATGGGTCACAGCCCATCTCTACGCAAGAAGACGAGGATAACCAGGTGCTACTCACAGAGAATCTCAGCCAAAGGACCATTCCCGACTCACAGGAATACTCAGGGCCTGACACCCAAGAATCTCAATTTGTTGCCTCAACAATCGCGCTGATCACTAACCGGTGTGAGATCATCTCAGACCGTGAGATTGCAGATTCACAAAGGCAGTCCAGCGTCGGGACTTCTCTCAGTAAGACTAGCGAATCTCAGACGCGCCTCTCGTGTGCACCTACCGGTCGTCTTTCTCAAGACGCTGTTCAACAAAGCCCTTTGCAAGGTAGTCATTCGGAAGTCTCCCAACACCGCCAGGAGGATCCAGTCCTTTCAGACCCTGTCTTCTTCACGCAATACTTTCCAAGTCAAAGCCAGCATCTGGTGATACCAAACACTCTTCCATCCATCCCGGAAAGCCAACTGCCAATTTCAGAATCTGCGTCTCCTCGACGATCGCGCTCTGCATCTCAAGACTCGGCATTGTTGGCAGCCCAAGCTGCCGCTCAACTTGTTCAGGAGCAGGAATCAGTACCGGCATCTCTCACCGACACGTCTATACCGTCACATCAAGTTGACAGCCTTTCTGGACACAACGACGCGGATCAATCATCGAGGTCATCCGGAGGAAGACACCAGGAATCTCAATCATCCGGAGCTCCCGTCTTTCTGACCCAGCCAGCTTTTGAGTTTGACCCGCCGTCGTCTTCTGAATCTTCTTCATCACAAGAGAATAGAGCCGCAGGTATCAGCGGTGGCTCAGGACAGCATATTTCGCAAACAGCCTACCAAGTTGATCCGGCGCAAATTACTGTATCTGACTCTCAGGGCGACAGTATTAACACGCAGCACGCTCAACGGGTTGTGCCCTTGCCTCAAATCTCGGCGAGCCAAATAGGTTCGGTTAGTAGCCTTACCGAGGAAGAGTTCATTCCTGATACGGTTCGCCGCAAACCACAGCATCGACGTCTCTGCATCGACAGCTCATTGTCGGCTTCAGACGCGTCATCGCACAGAAGCGTGTCAACAACGCCTTCCGGTCGCCTGTTCGCAAACCTACAGCATAACCGACGCCGCCAGTTGCTAGAAGAAAGCTTTCGCACCTGCGTTGAAAGGAGATCTCTTCCTCCGTCCAATAGCGAGTCAGCACCAGCACCGGTCGTGGAATCTAACCGACAATCCAGTCTTCCCGCAGCCATGGCGTCCACGGGTGAGCCGATGTCGGCTATTGAGGAGTTGCTGAAGATGCAAGAGGCGGCCATGAGCGGTGACTTGGGCGATGACTCGGGGGAGCATTTACGACAGCTTGATGGGGACGGTGGCGTGGCGACGGGACCAACGGACACCCATGATTTCTCGATGGCCATGGAAAATCCGTCTCTTCAGATCAATTCACAACCCCCTATTTCCACAGATTGGCACATGGGAGGGGCTGCCACATCTTCATCAGAATTGCCGGTTCTGACCAGCGCACCCGTTCAGCCCGCCATCCAGGCGCCAGCTAGCGAGCACCCGCCGACGGCTAACCCTGGTGACATCTTCTCTGGCAATCTTATGGCTGCTGAGACCGCACAGCAACTACCCATGACGATTTCTCCGTCGGACATTAGTCGCTCGATTGAGCCGGATGATCCTCTAGCCGCACTGCATCAACTAGATGATGCGCCGCTGAGCATTCTGCCTGCAGAAGACACGGCCACGGCGAAGAGCACGGCATCATCCCCTGATGTCGAACAGTATCGATCTGGGCCCCCAACATCGATGGACCAAAGCGAATACCTTGTTACCGTCTCCTTCCCAGCGAACATCCGCCCTCTCTACCTGAGCACAATCACGGTCTACAAAAACGAGATCGAGCAGTTCAACAGACTCTGTCGATCTGGCGAGGCTTTGCCAGATGAGACGCTGGTGAGCGCCATTGGAAGGCTTCTAGACCAGCTGCGTGATATCTGCGACCTCCCTGCGCCTCTCGACAATGGCTCCATTGATGCGCTAGCAGCCGAAGATCTCAAGAAGCACGCCATGGGGACCAATAGCAAGTTTTTCTTCGTCGGACGGTTCCTGGAGAGGCTCCAGACAAGCCACAAGAAGGTGCTCATTGTTGTGCGCGACATTACCATCATGGGTTATTTTGAGGCCATCATTGGTACCAGCGATATTGCGTACTCATTGAAGGGCTTGCACGAGCTTGAAAGCGACGACGAACATTCTCTGAATGTCGTTCTCATGCACACGGAACAGACTCTCGTGGATGATTTGAGCGACTTTGACGTCGTCATTGGTTTCGACGGCGGCATCATGAGGACTGATGTACTGAGCCGCTGGGCCCAAATGAACGGCAGGAAACCTATGCTGATTAGGCTGATGACTACGTACTCAGTCGAGCATCTCGAACCGATGTTGGGGGACGAGATGAGCAAACTAGACCGCACGAATGCTCTGCTCATTGCCATGTTCCAGTCCCGGGGTCTGATTAGTAATGACGAACAGGGAGAGATGATTGATGGACTCACGGCTCATTTCGCTAACCAAGTTATTGATCCGGAGCCCAACTTTGGCTGGGAGCCCGAGGCCGTCCCGACTGCGGTTCTCGATCTTTACTCCGACAGCCAACACCAAAGCCAGATGCCCCCAACGGCTGAGGAGCTGACAAGTCGGAAGCGGAAAGCGGTAGGACGCCCTTCACTCAGAGATTCCCAGCCACTGATGAGTGTTTCCAGGATGATGGACCCCAAGAGGTCACAAAGCGCCTGCGCGTGAGCCCTTCCCCAGGTCGAGATGGCGGCAGCATCGACGACACGGTCCGCGGCCACCTGAACCCCAACCCAACCCACGTACAGGTCCGCACGACGCAGGACCATCTCGACTCGTTGACCACAAAGGTATTACATCATTCTTCGGTCTCAACCTGCAAGGCGCTAATCGTGGTCTAGATCTCTGAGCTCGAATACCAGTTAGCAGAAAAGACGACTCTAGAGACAAACTTGCGCAAGCACGTGAACAGTCTCTCAAAGAGGGTCAAGAGTCATGACAAGACTATTAATATTATTCAGGAGAAACACATGGCTGCCCTGAAAGAACGCAGCCAATTTGAGGCAGAACGGGATGCGGCCAAGCAGACCGAGGAAAAGGCTCTCAAGAAGAGCCAAACCTGGCAGAACAAGGTACAAAAACTCGAGGAAGAGCTCAAGAAGAAGTCTGCAATTCTCGATGAAGCGCTGGTCGACGCCGGCACAGTGGCCACGGAGGTGTTCAAGCAAAAGACGGACGAGCTCGAGAAATCCCTCGCAAAGATTGCTGATCTGGAAAAGAAGCTTGAGAGCCGCGATGGCGAGCTCAGCTACGCGCGAGACGCCTACCAGACGGCCAACCACGCTAACAGTGAGCTGTCCCGGGAGAACAAGGAGCTCAAGGAGCAGGTTGCCGAGTTCCACAAGCAGGCGGCCGGGAGCCTCGCGCAGATCCAGGACATCAACTCCAAGGAGCAGATCAAGGAGATGCAGCGGCAAATCGCCGAGACCCAGGCCATCAGCCGGGACCGCGAGAAAGAGCTCGCGCGCGTGGAGAAGGAGCTTCGTACGCTTAAGAACGGCCGCAGGGAGACACGCCAACAGAGCGTCCCCCGAAGCCCGCGTCTCGGCATGATGAGCCCTAGGGCGCCGCGCACGGCTGGAGGTTCGGCTAGTAGGGGAACCTCGCCCGTTCCGTACGAGTCCTCGGGTACGGGAAGCACGCCCGTGCCGGGTATGCAGTTCCTGCCATCGAACAATCACAGGTTCAACCACCTTAGAGAGTGAGATTGCTGTCTTATGGTGGAGAGATGGGAAAGCATGCCAGCACGATGTGAGATTGTGAGTATTGATTTGTTTAGAGGGAAAGAGAACAGACGAGGGGTCCGCGAGATGGCCTTTGCAAGCATGATACCCTTCAATGAGGGACGGGTTGTTGTATTTTTTACGAGTTGAGCTCAGGTTCTGACGAGCTAGAGGGTTTTTTTTTTTCCTGGTAGAAAGAGAAAGAAAGGGCTCTTTGCAATGTCTGTGTTTGCTGGATGTTGTCTCACAAGGTGATATCGATGACGCCTGATGGCATGATTACCACGCGTGACATCGTTCGTGGGGCCGAGTTGAATTGTGTCGGAAACTTGCCCCTTTCTTTACCAAGCATCGAACTTCGCGGGGAACGTAGATTGCTTCTGCAGCCTGCCCACATTTCTGCCCGGCTCGCGAGGGGGACTGCGTTCTGATGGTCCCGAGAGGTCGGTCGGGACACACCACACCACCCCGGGGTTTTTACCCCACAGATTCGGCTGCATGCGGTCGGCCGGGGCAGAGACGAGATCTAGTCTTGTAAAACAAATGAGATGTGTATTGCTTTGTATATCTGTGAGAGAAGGCTTTTGGTGAGATGGTACATGAGGTTGGATTCAAAATCACACTACCAGGATAAGAACTCCCCCATCTATCACTTTCACACACACACACACACACACAGAGCGGCACGCACACACGCAAACACACATATAAAAAGCAAGCTTCTCTCTCTTAAGCAGTTTGCCCTTTCTCACGCTTCCCCTGCACCACGGCAGCAGCTCCCTTCCCCGACGTAGAATATACAAGTTAAAGCCTTGGCCAATCCGCAGCCCCAAGGACTTCTGGTTCGTTGTGTTCGACTGTTTGCCCGGTTTGGTATCGAATCTCACACGTCACCTGTTCTCGCGAGAGGAACGGTTATGTGTTGTGCGGGACGAGAAGATTTAGTTCTTCTCCTCGGGGTAGATGTCCTCCTTCAGAGTGACGCCGAGCTCTTCCCTCAGGGGCTTGAGCTCCTCGAGGTACTGCTCGTACTGGCCCTTGTTCTCGACCTTGGCCTTGATGCCTGCGGGTAGAAAGTAGAAAAGGTTAGCGATTTCCGATTTCCGATTCGACATGATTCGCGCCGTGCATTGATCGTGTTTCAATTGCTTGCAGAGCCTTTTTGGGGGGCGTGCAGAAGCGCGATGCGGAAAATCGAATCTGATAAAGCGCGGGACAATCACGTACCCTCAAAGATGCGGACGGCGGTAGCAAAGTCGTTGACGCGGCGGGCAGCCTTCAGGGCGGCGGTGACGACGGCGGGGGAGGGGACCAAGTCGTAGGCGAAGGCGTTGTTGAGGTTGCGCTGTGGTTGTGCGGTGCAAGAGTCAGCCTCGTGTGCTCCTCCCATCAGACCACTTTGGGGTCCGAAACTAGGTTCAGATCCCGAGGAATTTCGATGCAGCCGGGGGAGCGGGTAAGCATGCTAACCTGAAGCTCGAAAACGTCCTGAACGCCATCGAATTCCTTCTCGAATCTGGGGTAAATAGTCAGCGACGTCGTTCGGCAAGCGAATTGAGGGGTATAGAGGCCTCAATGGCTGGGTTGGGCGGCGGTCGTGGTGGTGGTGGTGGGTTCTGTTGGTGGCATGTCGTGGTCGATTCCGGGTATCCCTATCGTCCCCGGCTCACTGCCGCCTTTCCCAATGGCACGCCCGACAAGAGGTGCCAAACCCACCACATGCCACCACGCTAAAGCCTGACGACGAGGAAATGGCTCACCTCGCGCTGAACTCCTCAAAGGTCTCCTCCTCGTGGGCGCTGGAGCGCATGCGGGTGCTGGTGCTGAAGTTGTTGGCGGCCGGGACGCCAGCGACGATGGTGGGCAGGAGGACGGCGGAGCGGGCCATCAGAGGCTGGGTCGAGCGGACGGGGTTCGCACGGAAGAAGGTGGTCGAGCCGCGAGCGGCGACGCGGATGAGGGAAGAGGTCGACATCTTTCGGGTCGGTTTTGTGTGTGTGCAGAGGGGAGAGAGAGAAGGCGACCGGAGGACGGAGGGACGTCGGAGGTTGCGGCGGGCTGTGTGACGTGGAGGTGGTGAGTGGTTGCTATTTTTTTATTTTTTTTTCGCTCGCGAAAGCTATGGGCGTTTCGTCGGGATTAGAGTCGGGTGATGGTGAGTGTTTGACGGCACGAAAAAGGATTGGATTCTGCGAGATTTTGATTGGATGACTAAGCGGTAGCTTGCTGCTGTGAGGTGGGAGCTGAGCTCCAGGCCGTGCGAATTGGGATTATCTTGGTGGTGATGCAGCAAGATATGGCTGTGACAACACAGTTGATGCGCCTTTTCACACGGAGTGTCCATTATCAGGCCATTGTGGACGATTCATCCCCAAATGTGGTAATGGTCATACTCATCATGCTGCAGCTCACTGGTCCCCAGGCAGCGAACCCTTGAGATCTAACACATCTTCAGTGGCTGTGACAGCCCATTGGGAAGCACCACGGGGAAGGAACAGGCGATCAGGTAAGCAGGCTGGCAAGGCAGGGCAACAGAGCCGATGCCCCGAACTCCAGACTCGAATCGAGGCCCCTCCAATGGCACCTGAACACCCTGTCCGGAGTTCAAGGCGATTCAAGGTTCCGTCGCACCGTCCCATCCTGCCTGCCACGCCCGCAGCCACGGCGCGGCACTCACACACACACCATCGCAGCCGCACACGCGGGATGCGCAAGGCTGACAGCTTGACGGCCGGACGGGCTCTAAATCTAATAAGGGGGGATGGGAGCACTGGGCGATGACGGGATTTGGGGTAGCGTGCTAGGAGGGGTGGGCAAGCAGGAGCGAGGGAGGGATGACACGGAGCCGGACCGGACCCAAGATGCCGGAGATTGGAGACTGTGACGGCATCGCCCTCAGAAGTCGGATGAGTGATCGATCACTTGATGGTTGCTTGTTGCTTGCTTCTGATTTGGGTCCGGGCCAATTGGCCGAGGTACAAGTTTGCGTGTTTTTCTTGGGCGACCCTCTTCTATCGAGCCCATCGTCGAATCCTGAGCTAGAACGTCGTGACCGTCGCGGGGCCTTCTTCTTTTGCGATTGGCAACGTAGCCTAAACTCCCGAGATTGCAAGCCGCATCACGAGCGTCGATGTACCGGGTACTTCGCGGGCCAGACGGTTGTTTTGGGGCTAGGTCGAGTTGGCAGTGTGGATTTGGAGATTTTGGGGCCCGACGGGAAAGCTGCGATGCGGCCTACGCCGGGCCCCTGTCCAGCGCAAAACCGCAGAAGAACCAAAGTGTAGGTGAGACCCAAAACGCCAATTCCATTGGCAGCCGGCTAGAGGTCACCTCGTCGCAACGGTGCTGCGTCATTTGACAGGCAATGCCACCGTAGAGAAAAGCAGGTACAGCCTCTCTACCTTGGGTCCCGAGGCTTCCATTAATCAATCCATCCACCCGGAGCTTCCAGGCCTTCCATCCAGTCTTCTATCCGTAGACCCGGGCACTAAGCATCGTCTATCATCTTCTGTTACCTACGAAGGTACTGTAACTGGGCACTTCCTGTTGGCTCCTACTACTGACGGGATTCAACACTGCAGGCATTGAACCCAGCACGGAGACGGCACGAACACCACATCAGTCACGTGGAGCTGGTTGTTGTTCGTGCTGTGCCTGGGAACCATAAAAGCTGAACAGGCCCCCCAAATGAGCATAGGCCCAGGCACAAGAGCCCATTGGCTGGGCTAAGGCCGGGCAGCGAATCACATGCTGCACGATCAAATGAAGGCCGCGAAAAGAGCAACGCGACAAGTACAGGGTACCTGGTCCTTCGTGATAGGAATTTTCCCCTTTTGACATGGAATCTCAACAACTTTTCGCATCTGCTGCTCTCCAGTGTCTGCCAGACTCCCAGGCCAGACCAGACCAGACGGCACGGCTCACTGACACCGACGGATCCTGACTGACTGACTGTCTGCCCGCCCAGTGCCCACCTCAGACTCCTCAGTGCCTTGCTCCTAGGTTTGCCTCTGCCTCTGCCACTGCCAATTAATGCAACTGCTGCCGCCGCCGGTCTCCCCGTCTGGCCCTTCCTTTTCCTCATAAAACCAAACTTCCTCCCGTGCTCCCCGAGTCCGTGGCGTTTCCTACCTTTCTGTCCCCCGTCCCCCGTTCTGACTTCTGTCCACCTCCTTCCTTTAAAGTCAACAACTTCACTGGGAGTCCCGTGGTGGGTAGAGAGAAGACGAGAGAGCGTGTCGCCATTGTTCTTTTGAACCCTTCACTTTTTGCTGCCATTGTCTCCAGTCACTCCTTACTGGCTCCTGTCGCCTTTGCTGGTTAGGTTGCCGATCACTTTCTTCTCTGCTAGTGCTACCGCGCCTTGCATCTGCAGTCTTGCGTCGCGTGCGTTGCTGAACACACAGAAAAGCCAACCACTACCACCACCCTCACCTCCCCCAAGCCTCAAGAGATCCGCGTCTTCCGCGTCGAGTCCACAGGGCAACCCGCATCGAGACCCACGGCGTAACCGAATTTGTTGCCGCAGCTACTCTCCCCCCCGAAAAGAGATCTTTGCGCGCCATCCTCCCTCGATCTCAATCCTCCTCAACCTCTTTCGAGCTCCAACCCAAGTACAGCATCAGTCAAGATGGCCACCCAAGCCCCCTCTTCGTTCTACGAGCAGCTGCCTCTGCCTACCCTCGACCGCCCTTTCGGCATCGAATTATGGCCTCTCCTCGATAAGGTCTGGACTCCCATTGTCGGCTACCCCGTCAGCGAGTTCAGATTCGTCTCCGGCGTCACTCCCATGTCCACCATCAAGGAGGCCGGCATCTTCGTCGTCATCTACTATGCCATCATCTTCGGTGGCCGCGAGTGGATGCGCAACCGCGAGCCTTACAAGCTCAAGACGCTCTTCCTCATCCACAACTTCTTCCTCACCTTCATCAGCGCCGCTCTGTTGGCCCTCTACATCGAGCAGCTTCTGCCCACCGTCGTGC